CGGCACACGTTTTGTGTTTTAAGAGAGATTTATTTATATATTCAGTGTGTGTGTGTGTGTGTGTGTGTGTGTGTGTGTGTGTGTGTGTACATGCACATATGTGCAGGTGCTCTCAGAGACTAGAAGATGGCATCAGGGCATCAGATTCACATGGAGCTGGAGTTATGAGTGGTTGTGAGTTCCCTGATGTGGGTTTTGGGACCTGAACTCAGGTCCTCTGCAAGAAGAGGCCATGCTTTTATCTACTGCGTCATTTCTCCAGATCCATTTTGTGCTTTGAATGGAGAACTATTGGGGGAAATTCAATTATAGATGTCCAATGATATAAACTATCACATCCACACAAATGGTGTGATAAATACAGAGCCCAAGTACGTAGTTATAGTTACTCATAAGTATGTCACAAAATGTGATGGTTACCTGTTGTAATGTCGAAAAGTTAGGTTACAAAATCATGTCTGGAGCTAGAAAGATGGCCCAGTGGTTAAGAGCACAGGCAGCTCTTGCAGAGGACATGTGGGTTCCCAGCACCCACACAGTGGCTGACTACCATCTGTAACTCCAGTTTCAGGAGACCCGACACCTCTTCTGGCATCTGCAGTCACTAGGCACACATGCAGCATACATACACACGTGCAGGCACAACACTCATACATAGAAATAAAAATAAATAAATATGAAAAAAATATATATCCAGCTTCATGCAGTAGGTTTACATTTCAGTTTTTAAAAAATACATTTGGAGGTTGAGGATATTACTCAGTTAGTTGAGCATGTGCCTGAAATTCACAAAGTCTGGGTTTGAGTCCAAGCTCTACATAATTGGGGTGTAGGCTGAATGCCAGTAATCCCAAAGCCAGAGAAGTGGAGGCAGAAGGATCTGGAGTTTAAGGTCTTTTTTGACTACACAGTGAATTCAGGGGTATCCAAGTCTACTTGATACTCTCTCAAAAACAAATTTAAAAATGCAATTCCTATGTAAGAACTAGAATAGATTTTAGAAATTATTACCTTAAATTTTTAATAATGATTATCTTCATGTGGGAGGCATTGCTTCTCACATTACTGTCTGCTGTCAACTTACTCTGCTAAGGATGTATTCATTTTATCATATTTCACAATGCTCAGCTAGTGGTGTTGGGAGACATTTTAATTTTCTTTGAGTCAATGGAATTTCTGCCTCTTTTTTCTTGTCTTGTAACAAACACTCATGTTCATGTGATACCCCTGAGAAGCCAAGTTCATATATACATCCTACAAATCATGTCTCCAGATTCTCACCCTCTGCACATGGCATGTCACTCGCCACTTATTACAAGATTTCATAAATGCCTTTTGTAGGTTCAGTGTCCTTCATTATCTTGGGAGCAGCTGGAGAGCAGTGATTGGATTTCACATGCCTGTTTGATGCCAACATCTGATACAAGTCCTTGGTCCTGTTAGGAGTTGCAAACTGTCTGGGAACTGATTTGGAACCAATGCTGCCTTTGGGTCACCCTCACAAGCCCCAGTACAACCTGATGAAAAGTTTCACTTGAAATTTTTGCTCCAAACCCACAGAGACTTAGAGCCCTCCATGGCCCAGCTCTTGGATTTAAGTTGGCCCTTCTGCTTGCAGCTAGCTGGAAAAACAGAACTCTCTTAAAAACACAAAAGTATTGAAATGTGGAAAGCCTACTTGAGAACTCATTGCACAGAACTAAAGATAACTTTTCCAAACAGTTGGCTTTGAATTCATTGTCCAACCACTTAAGTCGCTGACATCTTCGTTTATGTCCAGGAGAGAAACTGGATGTTATTAAAAAGGAAGAAAGAAGACTCACTTTGCCTTAATAGAGAGGTAAGAAGGTACAATCATGTGATTTCAAGGAGAACAAAAAGTTTTCTCTCCTATAGAATGTCTATTGATGCTAGGAACAGCCTGGATGATACACAACTTCATTGGAATGACTCTCCATGGCAACCATAAGAATTCAAGGCCATCTATAAAACCAGAAAAGGCATTGAAAAGCAGATTAGCTGGGTAGAGGATGGGAGACAAAAGGGAAGAACTGGGAAGATGTGAATATGTTCAAAATACATAATATATTTAAAAGTCTACACCTACCTTAACACTGTTTGCAATGAATACATACGATAATAAGATATTTTTAAAAGAAAATGGGATATGGTTTTTATACTGCAGATGATTATGTGAGGTTTTTTTTGAGACAGGGTTTCTCTGTGTAGCTTTGGAGCCTGTCCTGGAACTTGCTTGGTCGACCAGGCTGGCCTCAAATTAACAGAGATCCGCCTGCCTCTGCTTCCTGAGTGCTGGGATTAAAGGCGTGCACCACCACCGCCCAATGATTACGTGACCTTTATAAGGCCAGAGAATATGCAGACAGAGACATATTAGAACCAGCTTAATGTCATTTACAAACTCTATTCTTAAGTTGGCAGTGCATTTCAAGCTGAGGTTCACAAAGTCAACTTACTGGGTCAATGATAATATTGAACAATATTGAGTCAATAATAACATTAAAATGACACAGAATAGAACATCTCCAGTCATATCTGTCCTAAGTGAAGACACTGTGAAACCTAGTCATGTAAAGGTGAGTGTTGTTAAACTTTTACAAAGGTGTCCTTGGTGTTATGTATACATGCCATTGTGACATATTCATGATGGAAAATGCTTTCCTTTGGTTATTCATATAAAATTAGTTATGGAGCAACATTATAGCTTGCCATGTCTAAGTCATGGAATACCTGGCACACAAGCAATGGGTGAAAGCTATGATGCTTAATGTCATTTACAAACTCTGTTCTTATGTAACAGATAATTCAGAAGAATGTACTGTTAGATCTGGATATGGTGCCTCATGCCTGTAATCCCAGAAATCGTAGATAGAGTCAGAGCTTAAGCTTATCTTTCACTATATAATGAGTTTGAAACCAGAATGGACTACATTAGGTCAAGTCTCTTCTCCCATATATGTTTTAAACTATTTTTGACTCATTCCAGATAATCCAGTACCTTTTAAAATGCTGTCATCATTCTTGGGAAAGTCAGTAAGGTCATAGGTCCTCTTATGTTGTCAGACAACCAAGGTAATGTAAAGAAGCCTTCAGGAGAAGTTATATCAGCTTCAGGGTGTATAATATGGAAAAGATGGAAGAGAAATGACCAAGGAATAAGTAGACCAGAGGAAATCATTCAACTGAGGAGGAAACCTCTGTCTGTAGTGGAAGACTAGCAGGAACTAGTTTCAGTACCGTGGACAGCTCCACGAACCCAGAGATGGTTGGCAGGCGCAGTCCCAGAAAGCGGACACGTTTTCAGCAACAGGTAGAGCTCCAGGGTTGTTCAAATCCTGTTTCAGGTACAGGACATCTCTGCTGGTGACACTGATTAGGTGTCAAAGGAATCCATGCTGACCGGTACAAGGTTGATGGTCTGAAAAACAATGTTAGCTTCGTCTTTGAATCTCAGCAGGCTCCTCTGGAAGAAGTATTTATAGAGTATTTAAAGAGCTTGTCTCTTTCACCTGCTCACTCATCTTCCCAGCCTCTAACATTTTTTTTGCAGTTTTATTTTATATAAGTGATTAATACCAGTTGTATGCTTAGGCATCTTTCTATTCATGCAGGAGCAAGCTTCTGAGATTTCCAAAGTAGTACTCCATTATATAATAAAAAACTCCATTATATATAAAAAACAGGGCTTGATTTATGTGTCAGTTTTATGGTTGAACCTTTGCAATGTTGAGAGACTTTTTGGGGTGGTACCAAAAAGTGCTACTGTTAATGCAGCAGCCACACTCTAAAATTTGTTAGATGGTCATTACTACTTCGTTTTCCAAGAACCAACACTCATCCAGGCCGCCACCAAATTGTGTGAAAAATATAAGGTGAAGCTTAATGTGTCCAAGAGTTCATCTTCACGACAGCTCTCTGACTGTAAAAACAGGTATTTCATTTCAGCTTGGATTTCCATTTCCTTGTTTCCTAATAAGACAGGAAAATTTCCTAGTTTTAAGTTATTAGTTATTTTTGGTCAAAGTATTTCTTTCGGACAATGGATCTCAACCTGTGGGTCATGACCTCTTTGGGGTGGTCACATATCAGATATCTTGCACATCACATATTTACATTATGATTCATAACTGTAGCAAAATTACAGTTATGAAGTAGCAATGAAATAATTTTATGCTTGGGGGTCACCACAGCACAAGGGACAGTATTAAAAGGTCCCAGCATTAGAATGTTGAGAAGCACTAACCAATTCTTTATCTAATGTTTTTTGATTGATGAAGAATCTGCTCTCCACACCAATCAAACAATGTCTTAGTATATTCTATGGAGAAGTCCCTTGTCAGTAACATGGACTAGGGATATTTTCCTAACTTGCAACTTTTTTCTCTTTAGTGATTTTTTTTGCATCATGCAAATTTTTAAGTTCTATGAGGCAGATGTTTTATTTCTTTTAAAATGTCAACCTATTATTGAAAATAGATTCTTTGCTTGCAAAATACATCCTGATGAGGGTTCCCCCTCTCTCTATTTTTCTCTCCCATATAGATCTACCCCATTTCTGTCTCTCACTAGAAAAAAGAGATAATATTAAAATATAACAAAATAAAATATAAGGAGATAAAAGTGTCACAGTAAAGGCTGACAGGACAATCTAACAGAAGGAAAAGAGCCCAAGAGATGTCACAAGAATCAGAGACCCACTCGTTCACACACTCAGGAATCCCATCGAAATACTAAAATGGAAGCAATAACACATCCGCAGAAGACTTGGTGCAGACTTAAAATTTTGGACTCAGTAAATTCCTGTGTGTGTCAATTTTCCATTTCTGGTTTTGCAGTTTTCCAGTTTCTCCTTATTGCTCCACCTGCCCCAGATCAACCCCTTGCCAAGTTGATTCAGCTCTGAGAAGGTTTGACCATAGATGCCTTTACACTTCAGAACAGACCAGGGTCTTTATAAACCTATTTCTTTCTTCACTTAGATGGAGAGATCTCTGCAACTGACCAACAGGTCCACTCACCAGGATTTTATCCTGCTGGGTTTGTCTGCCAGGAAAGACATCAGGGATGGTCTGTTTGTTATTTTTCTGGTCCTCTGTCTGAATATGCTAGTTATCCTCTTAGAGAATATACTAGTTATCTACCTCATCTGCAGCCACCATGAGTTACTCCACAAGCCCATGTACTTCTTCCTGGGCAACCTCAGCTGCCTGAAGATGTGCTATGTGTCAGTCACCATGCCCAGCCTGCTCATGAGCCTGAGGTCCAGCCCTTGCCATGTGTCCTTCACATCCTGCATGGCTCAATTGTTTTTATTCATTTCTTTCATTGGTACCAAGTGCACCCTCCTGGCCTCCATGGCCTATGACTGCTATGTGGCCATCTGCCGCCCACTGCACTACCCACTGCTCATGAGGCCCCAAGTCTGCCGGGGATTGGCTTTGTCCTCCTGGGTGGGTGGACTGTTGGTCTCTGTGATCAAGACCACATGCATTGCAAGTCTGTCCTACTGTGGCCCCAATGTCCTCAATCACTTCTTCTGTGATGTCTCTCCTCTGCTCAACCTGTCCTGCACCCACGTGGCTCTCACAGAGCAGGCCGACTTCATCTCAGCCATCATCATCTTCTGTGGGTCATTGCTAGTTGCTCTGGCCTCTTATGTGTCCATCAGCAGGGTGCTGATCCAGATGCCTTCTGCTGCTGTGAACCACAAAGCCTTCTCCACCTGTGCTTCCCACCTCCTCATGATGGGTATTTTCTACTCTGTGGTCATCTTTATGTATTCCAGGCCTAGACATATCAAATCTACAGACCTCAACAAGGTGCTATCAGTCATCTACACAGTGGCAATGCCCATGTGTAGCCCAATCCTCTACTGCTTGAGGAATAGGGAGGTCTATGCAGTGCTGAAGAAAACCCTCCATCTGTGCTGAGATTCTTGAGAATTCATGGCCAAATGCACATGAAGAAATTTCAAAGGCAGAAAGAAACATGACAGAAGTTTCTGGGATACTGTGTAGAGTCTTTGTATAATCAACATGAAAAACAGGAATATTATATGGACTCATCAGATGGCTCAGTGACTAGACAATTGCTCTCAAGCCTGATGACCTGAGTCCCTGGGCCTCACATTGTAGAAGGAGCAAACTGACACCCATGGGTGGTTCTCTGTTCTTCACAAGTGCATGGTGAATGCATATACTCCAATTCACGACAGACAAAATGAAAAAGTCTTACAATTAAAGGAGTTACCTTTGCTGTGATGAAATACCATGATCAAAGCTACTTGGGAAGGAAAGGGTTTATTAGGCTTATATTTCCTCATCACTGTTCATCATTAAAGAAAATCAGGACAAGAAATCAAATAGAGCAGGAACTTGGAGGCAGGAACTGATCCAGAGGCCTCGGAAGGGTGCTGCTTACTGTCTTGCTCCTCATGGCTTGCTCAGCCTGTTTTCTTATAGAACCCAGGACCACCAGCCCAGGGATGGCACCACCTACAATGGCCTGAGCCCTTACCCATTAATCACTAATTAAGAAAATTCCCTATAGGATTGCCTACAGCACGATCTTATGGAGGCATTTTCTCAATCAAGGTTCATTTTTTTAGATGACTATAGCTTGTGTCAGGTTGACGTAAAACTAGCCAGTACACAAAGGAAGGAAGGATGGAAGATGGAAAGGAGGAAAGGAAGGAAGAAATTGAGGGAGAAAGGGAGGAAGGGAGGGAAGGAAAAGAGAGAAAGATAAAGGAAGGAAGGGAGGAAGGAAGGGAGGGAGGGAGGGAGGAAGGGAGGGAGGGAGGAAGGAAGGAAGAAAGGAAGGAAGGGAAGAAGGAAATGTTCCCATATAAAAACCAAATAAAGGCCGGGCGGTGGTGGCGCACGCCTTTAATCCCAGCACTCGGGAGGCAGAGGCAGGCGAATCTCTGTGAGTTCGAGGCCAGCCTGGGCTACCAAGTGAGTCCCAGGAAAGGCGCAAAGCTACACAGAGAAACCCTGTCTTGAAAAACCAAAAAAAAAAAAAAAACAAATAAAAATAGTTGTGAACAGAAATATTGACAAACATAACTGCTCAGTAAATACCTTGAAGATGGGCATCCTGTCTGTTAAATACACACTTGAGAGAAGATTATCATTTATTCTTTGTATCCTAATACTAATATGCTACATATATCTCTATGTACAAATAGTGAACAAAATATATGTACAAGAATGGTTATTGCAAATTGTGACATTTAGAATATATATGTAAACAAATATTTGAAAGGATTGGAAATAAAGATCCACTTGAAGGTTATTTACATTTATAGCATACATATTGTGAAAAGATGTGTATCAGCCCAAGATTAACTTGGATCTTTGGTGACTTGACATGGGTAAGATAACCCGGTAGATGATTGAGTTGAGAATAACAGAGAAATGCCATGAGTGTGTCAACCCTACAAGACAATAATGGCAATGACAGTGGCTGTGGAAATTATTTGCACTAATATGCATTTAGAAGGAGTCTGAAGGGATGTGCAGTGTAGTTGACAGTTGCTAGAAATGTTTAGTTAATGAGCAGGACCTTGAGAAACTCATGTTTTCTATTTTATGTGCTTACCATTTTGCAGTAAGTTGGTATTAGCTTTACCATCACATTAAGTAAATTATTAAAAAGAGGAAATGAGCTAGATGCAGTGGTTCTTGCCTTTGCTCTCAACACTCTGGATGCTGTTCTCTGTGAGTTCCAGGCCAGCTTGTTCTATACAGCAAATTCCAGGCTAGCCAGAGCCTCATGGTGAGATGTTCTCTGAAGGAAAGAGGAAATAAAAATACAAGAATGACCTTTTGTGGAATGATTTGCTCATCATACTGGGGGATTTTGGAAATTTATATTTTAAACAGTGGTTTATGTCAACAGTCACTCAAGAGAAATGAGTGTTCTCTAACTATGTTCATGAGAATATTAGTTGGAGATAAATGAGGAAAAAATGAAATAAACTTTTTATCCTCATTGGCTCTTAAATTGACTTAAAACTCACCAATGTTCAAGGTCCCACATGTGAGCAATTCATTGTTACCATCCCACTATATTTTCTGTAGATAGTAAGATTCATGCTTTCGTACTTTCAGGGCATGTACTGTAGCAACTGAACCATCTCCCCAGCCCCATGACTGACATTTTTCATAGAACGTGAATAACTATTTGAATGACATAGTATTCCACTATTACACAATAGTCCATTGTGTGAGTATTCTGTACACAGTTGAACTTGTTGCTTGTTTGTTAGTGTATTGAGACAGAACGTCATGCAGTCCAGGCTGCCCTCAAACTCACTATGTAGCTAAGGATGATCTTGAACTCCTGATCCTCCTGCCTCTGCCTCTGAACTTAATATTTTGAATAGAGATGATTTTAAAAAGTTTTAACTAAAAGCATATACTCTTATGATTTTTTTTATACCTGAAGGGATGCTTGCATTCTGGTATTTTCTAGATAAAAGTTGCTCACATTGACATCATCACAGAATCCATAGAGTTGCTATTTTTCATGCATATGATCAAATATTTCTCAAAAGGTATCCTAAAAAATTGGTTAATAACTTTCTTTGATAGTGAAATTTGTGTTGAAAATGTTCTCATTCAAATTTGGAGTTTGAGTGTGTACATACTCAAAGTGCCTCTGCAACATTGGCAGAAATCCATGGACATTTCTTTAAACGTTTAAAATAGTAACTGAGTGGTTATTATTTGTTGTTTCAAGTAAACCAATTTTCTCTGAGTTCTTCCAACATAAAATTTCATTTAAAATACTACTCTAGGGGCTGGAGTGACGGCTTAGCAGTAAAAAGCATATACTGCTCTTGTAGAGGATCCAGTTTCCAGTGCCAGCCACCCACATCAGATGGCTCACAACCACCTACAACTCCAGCTCTAGAGATCCAGCACCATCCTGGCCCTTGTAGGCATGCACACATGTATCACACACACACACACACACACACACACACACACACACACACACACAAATCTTAAATAAACCTGTTAAAACATACAAAACCAACAACAAAAGCCTCTTCACCATAACAAATAGAAAGGATGTTAGAGCTGGAGGATGGTGAGGAGAGCTGAGAAATGCCGTCCTCTGGATCTGACAAGGCCATTGCTCTCATGAGCACACAGAATCTATGGTTATCAGCACAGCTGTAACTGTATGTTGTAACTTGGATCCAACTATGCATGTATGTGCAAGTAATTATTGTTTATAAAAACATGCTTTAAACAGCAACCACCTGGCTTTCCTCCATCTTGGCTGGTGACCTCATAGACAGCCACATGGCTGGCAGCCATCTTTTAATAAAGGTTATAAAGATCCATTCATGTTAACAAAAGCTAACTTAGAGATGGACACCTAAGTACTTATGTCTTTACCAAGTATTCAACAGCAAGCTTCTAAAGAATTTAAATAGATGGCTACATATGTTTAATAAATAAGGTATTTGATAAACATTAAAGCTGCACCTCAATGCTTTTATACACAAGAATGTACCTTTCTCTGGCAGTGAAACTTTGTAATTTAAAGTCACCCAGTTGATAGTCACCAGAACCACCAGCCACAATGAAATGGAGCAAGCGGAAATCTAAAAGGCAGGCTTTGTATATGCTGCCAAGTGTAGAGCCAAAGAAATCATGCAAGCCTCTAAGTAAAAGAACCAAACGGATTGTGAATGAATCCCAGATATTGAACTTTGGGATTGTTTGCACTTTGGAGCTTGGTTTTGCTTTATGCAGATTGTGATGATGCCATGTTTTCGCCCCCTTAAAGTAAAAAAAAAAAGGAACTTTATTGTTGATATTGCAGAAAGACATTTGAAAGATCTTAACCTTTTTAAGAACAGTTTTTTAAATATTGAAATTTATAGTGCTATGCAACACTTTAAGTTTATAAAATGCTCTATATTGTTAATATTTGGACTTAAAATAAAAGGCTAAAAATTAGGGTCACAGCCATAAGTACCAAATACTACCCAGAAACTGGAATATTCATTTCTTATGATGCAGCAAGACAATGACCTAAGCAGTCTGGGAAAGGGCTTAGAACAGCTTCTGACTCCATGAGTCTCAACCCTTTAGGGGTTGAAAAACTCTTCACAGGGGTAACCTAGGACCACCTGTATGTCAGATGTTTGCATTGAGATTCATAACTCTGGCAAATCTGCAGTTATGAAATAGCATTGAGAAAGCTGAGAACCAGTGAGGCTTAAGAATGTTGTCTAGCCTCCTGTCTTTGCTAAATTTGTTAAGCTTAAGCTTTTTAGATAAACTTAATCATATATATGTTTTATACTGATATTTTGTTTTGGTTTCTTTACTGAACTGTATTTGATACCACAAGAGCTTCAATTTAAATATCATTGTTTTTAAGGCTGCTTATTGTAGACTGTTAGAGAACATAAGTAAATAGTCAGTCATAAATAATCAAGATTTTTGATTGTAGTCATACTAAATACTGATGTAATTAATTACAGGGATAAGCTTTACTCAGTCCCTTGCATATGTTTTCAGGGTTGAGCTTAAAACAATTAGAAACAAGGTTTGTCTATTCAGATATACCTGGACAGACCTCATACTTTTCCTAGTTTAAGTTTGTCTCAACAGATTTCTACTTGCCTGGCAGACACTTCCAAGCTTCAGTTGCTGATTACACTGCTCCAGACAACTATGAGCTCCAGACTTGCTCAAAGCTGATGTGGACTGGCCCGGCCAATGTAATTGTTCCCTGTCTCTACAGGGTTAGACAGCCACATGATTCTGATAAATGCCCCATTGCTCAGCTGCTTTGGGATAATGCTTTTGTACCCTGGTTTAATAAAAACACTGATTGGCCAGTAGGCAGGCAGGAAGTATAGGTGGGATAAGCAGACAAGGAGAATTCTGGGAAGAGGAAAGCTCCTGTCATCCAGGGAGCAGCATGTAATGGCACACAGGTAAAGCCATGGCAAATGTGGTAACGTGTAGATTAACAGAAATGGGCTGAGTTTAAGTGCAAGAGCTAGTCAGTAGTAAATCTTAGCTAATGGCTGAGCAGTCTTAATTAATATAAGGCTCTGTGTGTTTACTTGGGTCTGAGCAGCTGCAGATCAGGTGGGACACAGGAAAACTTTCAGCTACAAATGGCACCAAATGTAGGACAAGAGTTTGAACCTAAAACCTGAGAAAACTTTTTTTAAAAGATT